TGCCTAGGGGGATAGATTCTAGTGCAGAGAAGGAACAAGATGAAGCAGAGGGGGGGAAGGGGGGTGTACCTGGCTCCAGGTTACGGGCAGCCGCGCGAAGCTCTGCTCGCTCGCGAATGGGCAGAGCCGGGGATCCCTCCGGGTGGGCCGCATCCAGCCGCGCGCTCCGGCGAGAGGCCACCACCAGGGAGGAGGTCGACCTGCCGCGACGGGAGTACGCTGCAGTGCGGGGGGAGGGGGCTAGGACGCCGTCGGGGTGAGCACGCGGGACGCCCCCTCCCTCAAGACCGGCGAAGAGGGCGACGTCGGCTGAGCTGGCCCGGCGAAGCCGAAGAGGAGAGACTCAGCCAGTGGCGTCCCCGCCGGAGGTGGAGGAGGCGGAGGCGACGTGACGGGGAGAGGCGACGGAGCCGGGCCGTCGAGCGGGAGGGGGAGGGCGGCCTGGGCATCCACCCTCCGAGGGGGGGACGGGTCGAGTGGGGCGCAGGCGGCCGGAGAGAAGGGGACCGCCGTTGGCGAAGCCCGCCCCTCCACAGGCGCCACCGAATCCCCGTGGGTGGAGGAGGCGACGAAGAGCAGGTCCGCCGAGAGCGTCCCAATGGCAGGGGACGACATAGGAGAGCGCGGGGAGGAGGCCGGGCGGACCACCATGCCCACACTGGAGATGTCGCTCCCCTCGGAGGAGGAGACTGGCGCGAGAGCAAAGTCAGCCAGCAGAGGAAGGAGAGCGGCCTTGCGGCCCTGGTCCCTCCCCCTATCGGTGGGGGGTGGCGAGGGAGAGGGGGAGCGGGAGTCCCCAGAACCCCCCTCCTCATCCGAGCGACGGGAGCGGTGCCGCCCGTGGTAGTCCCCACCGGCCCCCAGGTCGCCACCAGGGAGGCCAGCGTCGAAGGAACGGGGACGCCCAATGTGGTTGGGGGGCTCGGGGGCAAGCCTGAGGTCAAAGCCCTAGTCGTTGAAGAAGACGCGGACTGAGGTGCGGAGCTTGGTGGAGTCGAGACACTTGACCTTGACCCGGACCTCCTCCTCCTTGCGGAGTGAGAGCTCGTCCACGGCCACCACCTTGCCCAGGAAACGGGACATCTGGCGGATGACGGGCTCGGACCGCGCAATGTCGGGCAGGCCGGAGATGAGGATCCAGGCGGTGTTGAGGACAGCCACAGCCCGAGCGTCGAGAACCGGCTCGGAAATCTCGACCACCAGCTGGTTGAGGGCGAGGGTGATCCGGCCACTACGCGTCGCGTAGCCGTAGCTGGCAGAGTCGGGGAAGACGACGGAGAAGATGTGGCCAGCGGTAGGAGTGGCCACCCAATCCCATTGTTGGCGGTAGAGGTGGTTGAGCTCCGCCTCGATCATCTCCGGGGATGCCACGCCGTCGACGACAGTGACAATCGCCTGGAGGGAGGGAGACGGTGGAGGAGCATCCGGAACCTCGAGGTGGAAGAAGCCCAACCCCTCAATCCCATGCCCATACATCATGAGCTCGGAGACCACCGGTCTATCCGGGCCCAGGATGGCGGGGTGGCCGGGGTCCTTGCAGAGGTAGCAGCACTGGGGGTTGACGCAAGTGACCTGAGAGTGGCCCCTCACCCCACAGTTGAAGCAGGGGGGGCGAGGGAGGCCGGAGACGGGGCCCGGCGCGGGAGTGGATCCATGGCCCGCCGGCGGAGGCACGGGCGGCGCGGTGCGCACGCCACGCCTCTTCTTCTTTTTGGCCGGACCGGACCGACCGTGGCTGGGGCCACCACCCGGAGCCAGGGCCGGGGCCGCACCCCCGTAGGCTGCGGCATGGGGCGGCACATAGCGTCGGGGTTCCACCGGGGTGGGGAGGATCCCATCCCGGGGTCGGGGCGGGCTCGGCCGCGCGGTGCGGGATGGGGAGGGAGAGCGGGCCCGACGGGAGGGTGGCGACGGAGAGCGCCGGCGACCACGCCAATCGCCCAGGGAAGCCCTAGGGGAGCGGGACCGTCCACGGCCCTCGCGACGGGGAGGAGATCGGCGGCGATCGAGGAGCTCGCGGAGCTCCCTCCGGAGCTCCTCCTCACGTCGAAGGCTGTCGGGGGAGGGGCGAGCAGGCTCCCGGTGGAGCTCGCTAGCCTTGCGCTTGTCCCGAGGCGCGTGATCATCCCACTCCCATGGCATGGCGCGCGACGGCGAGGAGGGAGGGGAC